CTCCAATCGTTGGGCTCCTGCTGTTTTTGCCCGGGTTCTGCCACCAACCCTGCCCATAAGACCTGGCATTTGCAAGCCAGGGCTTTGCTGCCAGGTGTTTTGCACATCATTAATGTTCCCCACTTGCAGCAAAGCCTGTTATGCCTGGCCTATGCACGTGGGATTCAGATTTTCAAGTCCAAGAGGTGCTGCTTGGCACAAAGCAAGCTTCCTGTTTCCTAAGCTGCTCACTGCTCCTGCTCTTCTTCCCCCTCAAATTTTTAAAGCCAGCTGTCTGCTCCAGTGCCCTTGCACTGTGTTTGGTGGGGGGTAGGCTTTATTCAGTAGGGATACTGGAAAGAGGAGGAGAGCCTAGCCTAAAAACCAAGCTTTTGAGATGTTGATCTAAACCACCATTATTTCCAAAAGCAAACCAGGTAATTGCACTGAGTCCTGGCTTACTTTCATGGCTGAAATGAACTTCAAGAGGAAGTATGTAGGGAATGCTACTGACACTTGGGTTGCACATTCTCTTGGCCAAGCCACATAAACCTTGGTGATGCTGCAGCCTTGTATTGCAGTCTTGCCATCTCTGCATTCTTTATATTTCAAGAGAAGCAAGTCCAGCACCTGACAGGTGAAAAATCAGTGTAAATTACAGCCTCTGTACAAAACACTGGCCCCATGCCAGTAGCAGCATGAACTCATCAGCTCTCTCAGGCTGCTTGGGGTGAGAAGGCTACAAACTCTTCAGCGGTTTGTTCTGCTTCTGGGGCACAGCTGTATTTAAGTGCACCTATTTTCAAAGGGGGCTGAATGTCGAGTGGCTTTGTATCTTCCCTTAAGTGCCTGCAAGGGAGTGGAGTGAGAACACAACTCCTGGCAGAGGAGCACATCTGGCCTTGGAGCTGGGCCCAGATATTTGAGAATGGTTAGCTTCCTCAGGAGGACACCCTGCAGCCTGTCACACCTCTGCCTTTGCTGCAAGCCAGAGAGATTCACGGCATGAGTGATGCACTGAGCTGACCATGGGAAGAAGAGGCACGGTCAAGACCCATGATAGTTCACACACAGGTACCTCAAATGCTCTTCTGGACCAGCCTTTTCTGTTTGCTGCAATAAGCTTTGAAAAAGAACACTCAGATGGCTTAGGTGATAACACTTGTGCTGGCGGGTTCCCTCTGATACAGCCAACATCCTAGCGTGCTCCAGCAAGGTGGAAATGGGGGACACTGGTGAGGACTTGCACTGGTCAGAACACTTCCAGGGGGTTTTATTTTCCATCTGTTTTCTCAAGCAAGGAAACAAACTTAAGAAGCTTTAAGAGACTTCAGCAGATAGTGAACCTGGGTGTTAACACTTTACAACTTCATTTTATTGTGTTACTAGTACCCTTTCCACAGTCCAGCTTTACCCACCTAAGCAGAGGAAGGTTTTTCCGTATCAGCAGATACTGCTGTAGACCTTTCTTGGGCAAGTTTTAGTAGTTCTCTTCCCCTCATAGTAACCCACAGCTTAATGTATACATTGATGCCAAGAATGGGACACTTCCAGAACTGAAACAACTCCTTTAGACCTCAAACTAGAGTATAAAAATGAGTTCTCAACACTTAGGAGCCAAGGATGTCTTGACCAATATATACGACATTCACTATAAAACCAAGGAAACAAGTGTAATCGTTACTAACAGTCTTGCACAGTTTTTCTGAATCATGCAAACAAGAACCAGCACATTTCATGCATTTTCAGTATATTCAGAACATCTGCCTCATACACCTGCCAACATTAATGTGGTAAATCCAGGAAAAATCTTTGTAAAGGCTGCTGTGGTGTAGGTTTTCCTCCCCCCCAGCTTTAACTTTCATACATCAACAAGATCCTTCACCTGATTTTTTTTTAGGAAGACTGAAGGGTGTTTGGTGGCTTTTTAAGTTGGTCTCAAGAGCTACAATGCCAGATCACCTGGCCTCAGCACTGGTTTAGCTGCTTCTGCTCTGTTAAACATGATCTCAGGTTAAAAATTGTGATGGGGAAAAGTTGTACAAAGGTGCAATGGCACATAAGCACCCTTTATTTTGTGCGTGTTTGTGTGCTTCTTCTGGAGCAGTATTTGTGAATAGTAATAGACTGTCAGACCCATACAGCTTTCTAAAGCCAGTCCTGCTCAAACTATGGGTACAATTTTCCCATTTAGAGCTTCTGCATAGTAAATGTTCTCTCCAGGAGCGCCAACAGACTGGTACTTTCACAGACACACAGCACTCCCTTGTAAACTGCCTACAGAGCTTAAGTAGTTACTGTTGGATGGTGGGGAAGGAACCAAAACATAAAGAGTGTTTATTCTGTCCTGGTTTTCAAGTTTATCTATCAGTGTTATTCAATGGGAGACAGTTGCATGTTTAAGTGAGATGTGGCTGTGCTTACTTCTCCCCTTCTGTAAAGTGTTTCCAGCTTTTTGTGCTGGAATGGGAGCACAAGAAGTGGGATCCTATGAGAAGTGAGTCTCAAGGAAGGAAATTGTCACAAAGCCGTGCCTTTCACTGGGCATTTTGTTTCTGCTCTCTCCATAGGGACATTTGTATCTGCTTTCACCGTGCTGTGCGGAGCCCGGACTGACCTCCCTGACAGGCACACTTGTTGTGTCTTCTGGCTGAACATCGCTGCTGCTCTGATTCAGGTCCTGACGGCGATTGTGATGGTTGGCTGGATTATGAGTATATTTTGGGGGATGGACATGGTCATTCTTGCAAGTAAGTACAGCGCACTTATTCCCAAACCCTGACTTCTCCCTTCCGTGGCCATGTTGCTGGGTTCAATCTAATGACCCTGCAAGCCATTGTGCTGCACTGTAGGGGAGAAGAGCCACAGGATGGACTTTGCAAGTCTGTAAGAAACAAAGTAGGCAGAGAAATCACTGGGAGGCACTTGGGATGGGCCCTGTGACACATCTAGAAGAGCCTCCCAATACACCACACGTGTTAGGATCTTCCTTTGCTCTTTATCAAATCAGGAAGGGGAAGTCACCTAGAACTCTGCTGTGTGGAGTGTCTTCTGCCTAGGACACATGAGTGCGAGGGCTTGAACGAGAAAGCCCATTCTCCCTCTTGGCTCCGGCTGCATCTCTTCTGTTAGAGACCTTCTGGTCAGGGTGGCTCTGCTCCCAGGGAAAACAAAGGGCCAGCTGTCCCCAGAAAAGCCCTGAGGACTCTCCTGGACCCTCCCTTTCCTCTCCAGAATACATTTCACCAAAGGCTTTTGTTTACATTTGACACCAAGTTCTTAGGCTGAGCAGGAGTGTTTAGCTACTCCTAGAAGGATTTCCCCTACACCTTTTAGGTACCCTCCAAAACAGGAATCTAGGGGAGGAAGAGAGGAAACCTATTTTAAACATAATTTAGGACACACACTATATATTATCTAGAATACGGGCTCTTTAATGTTATCGGCTAAAAACTTTCACTGGTGTAAAAGTTGTCTCTTACCTGTGTCATATCACCTCTATCATGTTGCAGACAGTTAAGGAGACAGCCTCATCTTATTCCTTCTATCAGTCATTTTTTCAATGGCTGAGGGGTAGAACTGGTGGGAATCATAAAACATTCCTCCATACTGTTGTGCTTTAAAAGCCACTTCATGCACAGTTGGTCCTTTGTAGTCATCTAAATATCCCATGAAGGAGAATATACAGGCATGTGGTGCTAGTACAGCCTGCACGAACCTCTGGAGCATGGGCATGTCACACAGAACATCATCAGAATGGCTGAGGGGTAGAACTGGTGGGAATCATAAAACATTCCTCCATACTGTTGTGCTTTAAAAGCCACTTCATGCACAGTTGGTCCTTTGTAGTCATCTAAATATCCCATGAAGGAGAATATACAGGCATGTGGTGCTAGTACAGCCTGCACGAACCTCTGGAGCATGGGCATGTCACACAGAACATCATCAGAATTTGTAATCCTGTGGTTATCATAGCTCACCTCTCACACAGCTAATTCTCTCAAATGTGTGATGGCTCTCTCTCGGTTCCATGGGGTGGTATGTCCTGTCTTAATACCAGTTGCTCTATCAGTGCCAGCATCTCTGGCCAGGGATCCCAATTGCTTGGCTTCTCTTTCATCCAAGTCATAGGTATCAGCCCCACTAGCAAAGCATCAGTGCAGCCAACAAAGAAGCAGCTCACACTTTCATTGCAGGTAAAATCCCTTCTGATGAGGTGCGGTTCCTTTAGAGCATTAGAGAGAAAGGTTGGACAAGCTTGTCATTGTCATCTGCTTGAGAGTGGCCTGCTTTTCTATCTGCTTGAGAAGGGCCTGCTCTGTTACCAGTTTTAGAAGAGTCTACTTCTTCGGTTAGTTCTTTTACCATTGCTTTTAAAATGGGGTCCTCTACTGCTAAACCTGTTCTTGTGGTTTCGGATGGCTGTTTCTTTGCTTTGCTCTCGGTCACAGGATTAACTTTAATTTTTGTTTGTTTGGATGAGTGGAAGTGTCCTTAGTTGTAAGAGCAGCAGCACCAATGGCAGCAACTTTGCCTATGGGGAAGTGGATTGTGACCACTCTACACATCCACAGCACATTATAAACATTCAGCAGAATCATCCCTACTGAAACAATTACATTTAGATCAAGAGCTGGGAGATTCAGCCTAAGAGAAAACAGAGAGGTAAAACTGACCCTGCCATTACGAACATAAACCCTTCTGTTCACATAAAAAGCCTTACTATACAGTGCCACTCTTTAGATCAGTATCAAAACTCCTGTTATCACTGTATATCTTACCACATAACAGATTATGGCTTTGGCTATAGTCTTGTTAATAAACTATTGTCCCGATTTGAGCCAGGACAGGTTTAAGCCAGAGCTCTAACTCTGAGGGAAAATCCTTAATTTGACAGTTGGTAAAATATAGAGCCTACATGTAATGTATGGTATGGAATAAGGGGTGAAATGTCCTGGTTTGAGACAGGATGAAGCCAATTTTCCTTTTACTGATTTTTTTTTTCTTCTTTTTTCTATTAGTGAAGTCTCTTTTAACTAGCAGCAAGTTTTCCAGCTGATAACACTGGAATGTTGTTCTGGTTTGAGGCAGGATTAAGCCACTTTTCCTTTTACTGATTATTTTTTTCCTTCTGTAAACTCTTTTAACTAGTAGCAAAGTGTTCCAGCTAGGAATGTTTAAAAATATTGGAATGTATGCTATTACCAGGACTTCGACGTCACGTCTTTGCCCTGCCAGCTCAGGCACTATGGGGAGATTTATGACCCCCCTCATAGGAGGCTGAATTAGACAAACAGAAGAACTGGCCAGAGATATTCCATTCCATATATCTATGTAAGCTCAGAGGAAGGTCAGAGATCACAGAAGACAACTTCCTTCCTGCTGCTTTTTACCTCCTCTTCCATACATGGCCAGCATCTGGGGAGGACTCTGTCCATCCATTACCGCCGACCCCCCTGGCTCAAGCTCCCCTGACCCACATAACTCTACACTCTGGCACCTGGGACAGTTTGCAGCTAAGGGAGTTGCTGGGGGTGGGGGGAGGCAACAGGGGTTTTGCACATTCCTGAGCACATTTGTGTATAATTGTATATATTTTCTTTTATCATTAGTGTTTAATTAAAGCTGTATAGTTTAGTTTTCAATCCAGAAAAGTCTCTCTTATTCTCTCTCTCCTTCCCCATTTTTGTTGCTGGTTCAGTTGTCGATCCTGAGTCTAACTGTAACAAATGTTTATGTTACTGCTGAGATGCCAAGGTCACTTTGCTTCATTTGTTGAATCTGCAGCCTCAGATGCTAAGGGAGCAGAAGAGTCATATTCAAGGAGCAATGGATGCAAACTGGAGCATAGGAGGTTCCATGTGAATATCAGGAAGAACTTCTTTACTGTGAGAGTGACAGAGCCCTGGAACAGGCTGCCCAGGGAGGCTGTGGAGTCTCCTTCTCTGGATACATTGAAACCTGCGTGGACACGTTCCTGTGTGATGTGCTCTGGCAGGGGGGTTGGACTAGATGAGCTTTCGAGGTCCCTTCCAACCCCCAGGACTCTGTGATCCTGTGATTCTGGTATCTGTAACCCTCCCATAGGAGGTGACTAGACAGAAAGCAAAATTGACCAAAGTATTCCATTACATATATCTACATAAGCTCCGTGTAAGGTCAGGGATCATGGAAGTCAAGCCCCTTCCTGCTTCTTCTTCCCTTCTCTTCCATCCATGGCCACGTCCAGGGTTTGGCACATTGCTGAACAGACTTGTATATAATTGTACATTTTATTTTATCATTAGTATTTTATTTTATCGTTAGTATTTAATTAAATCTGTCTAGTTTAGTTTTCAATCTGGAAAGTCACTCTCTCTTTATTCTCTCTCCTTCCCTGCCTGGGTGGGTGGGGGAGGGGATCAAGAGCATTATCATCACTGGTTTAATTGTCAATCCTGAGTCCTGCAAAACCCTATTGCCTCCTCCCACCCCCCAGCAACTCCCACGGCACCTCCTGAGCTGTGAGCAGTTCTGAAATGTCCCAGAGCTGCTGGAGAGAGCAGCAGAGCAGACAGGAGCTGAGGGTAGAGTTGTGAGGGTCAGGAATGCACAGGCCTAGGGATCAGTGGTGATGGAGAGATGGAGTCCTCCCTGGACACTGGCCATAGATGGAAGAGAAGGGAAGAAGAAGCAGAAAGGGGCTTGACTTCCATGATCTCTGACCTTACAATGAGTCTTACATGTATGTATATATACAGAATATCTCTGGCTGAATTTGCTGTCCATCTAGCCCACTTCTCCCTACAAGAGGGCTGCAGATACTACTCTTCTTGTCCCTTAGCATTTGAGGCTGCAGATTCAACAAGTAGAGCAAAGTGAACTTGCAGTCCCATCAGTAACATAAACATTCCAGTGTTATCAATCCAGTAGCTAGAAAACTTGCTGCTAGTTAAAAGAGAGCTCCCTGAAGGAGAAAAATATCAATAAAAGGAAAATTGTCTTAATCCTGGATCAAATCAGGATTGGGGCCCAGAACTGAACAAAATAATTGATGTTCAGCCTCACCAGTGCTGAGTACAAGGGGCTGAGCACTGCTCTAGTCCTGCTGGCCGCACTGTTCCTGATACAAGCCTTCTTGGCCTTCTTGGCCACCTGGGCATACCACTAGCCCCTATTCTGCCAGCTGTCAATCAGCATTCCCAGGTCCTTTTACTCTGGGCAACTTTCCAGCCACTCTTCCCTGAGTCTGTAGTGTAGTGTTGCATGGGCTTGTTGGGACACAGCTGCAGGACCTGACACTGAGCCTTATTTAACCTCATACAGTTGGCCTTGTCCTATCAATCCAGCCTGTCCAGATCCCCTTGCACAACCTTCCTGCCCTCAGGCAGATCAACACTCCCACCCAACTTGGTGTAATCTGCAAACTTAGTGAGGGTGCCTCAATCCCCTCATCCAGATCATCGACCCAAAGCTGCTCCCCATGCCTGGCTGGACCCCACCAATTTTGAAGGCAGAGGGTGGGTGAGCAGCATGTGGTGAGGATGCCAAGGACCCCAATCACAGCAACAGTATTTCATCCCAGTCTCTCTGGTGGCAGTAGAGAAGTGTTAGAGGAGTTAATGTGTCTTAAAAGGAAACAATGTTTCAAAATGCAAGAAATAAGACATTCCATTTAAAAACATTGCCACGAGACCATTCACTTTGTTTGAGTTTTGTTTGTGTGCAAGCAAATTATTTGAGGCACTGGTCAGAAATTTTACCCTGTTGC